GCGTCTTTTTTGTTGTTTAAATGAGTAAAATAATCTTCAAAAGTCCCCACCCAGTGACCTCCCCTCATCCTTCATTGGCCAGGACCAAGTAACATGCCCATTTTTAAACCAAACATGGCAAAGGCAAGAGGGCCACCATAATCTATTTAGTATAATCTAGTCTAATTTGAGGCCTGGAAGAAGGGAAAACAGCTATTGCGTAGGCCAGTGATTCTCAAACTGTTTAGTCTCATAACATCTTCAATATTGTTGAAGATTGCAAAGAGCTTTTGTTTATGTGAGCAATAGTTTGACAGTATCAGAAATTTAAAAATAGTTATTAATTCATTTAAAATACCAATAAACCCATCATTTGTTACTACGTTGTGGTGGGCAGAATGATGGTCCCTAACAATGGCCCACATCCCTAGAACCTGAGACTCTGTAGCAGATGTGATTAAGAATTTTGAAATTGGGCCCTTACCGGTTTGGCTCAGTGGATACAGCGGGCTTGCGGACTGAGGGGTCCCAGGTTCGATTCCGGTCAAGGGCATGTACCTTGGTTGTGGGCACATCCCCAGTAGGGGGTGTGCAGGAGGCAGCTGATTGATGTCTCTCTCTCATCGATGTTTCTAACTCTCTATCTCTCTCCCTTCCTCTCTGTAAAAAAATCAATAAAATATATTTAAAAAAATTATTTGAAATTGATAGATTATCCTAGATTAACTAGGTGGGCCCAATGTAATCACAGGGGTATGATAATTGAAAGAAGGAGGCAGTGGCAGAATGATGTAGTGTCAGAAAGGCACATTTGGCTATTACAGGCTTTAAAGATGGAAGGGCACCACTAGCCAAGGAATGTCGGTGGCTCCTAGAAGCTGGAAAAGGTGAAGGAATGGATTCTCCGTTAGTGTCTCCAGAATGGAAAGCAGACCAGCCGACACTTTGATTTTAACTTAGTGAAGCCAATTTTAGACTTTGGAACTCCAGAATTATAAGATACTAAATTTGTGTTGTTTAAGCCACTAAACCTGTGGTAATTTGTTACAGCAACAATATAAAATAAACATGTACACATTTTAAAAATAAAAAAAAATGGACTATGTTTTCCAAAACAAACAAAAAAATCAGAAGAGTGGCATTAACTTACATTTTTGGCAAATCTCTTCAAGGTCTGATATTAGAAAAGACAAGTGAATTTTTGCATCTGCTTCTGCATTCAATCTGTTGTGATATCATATGTCACATTATCTCTGGAAAACTGGTGTACATTCATAAAAAAATGTGAGTGGAAAGGCAAATCATAAAAATGATGCACCACTTCATGGTGCTCTTAAGAGGGTCTTGGGGACTCACAGGGCTGCCCAGACCACACTTTGAGGACCTCTGGTGCAAGTCAAAAATTTGGGCCATCCCCAAAGAACAGATAGGGAACATTTTTTTTCCATATTCCTAGGGTGAACCTGTCTGGCTTTAAGGTGATGACCTTAAGGTGATAACTTATACAGTGCAGTGATGTTCACATTTCTTTCTTAATTCAAACAATATTTCTAAGAGTTTAGTTTGTGCCTGGCACTTCTTTATGGGCTAAGCTTATATATATAAACAAACAAGGTGGATACAGCTCTTGCCCCTAGGAAGCTTCTTACATTTTTTTAGTTGAAGAAAAACAAGCTCATACATAAGACAATTTCAGATATTACTAAGGAAAAGTCGTGGAAGAAAGTGTGAGAAGGCCATGGCTGGTGTGGCTCAATTGGTTGGAGTGTCGTCCCATATACCAGAAGGTTGTGCAGAGCACATACCTATGTTTGGGTATGATCCCCAATGAGGACACATAGAGAATGCAACCAATTGATGTTTCTCTCTCTCTCTTTCCCTTTCCCTCTCTAAAATCAATAGCATATCCTTGGGTGAGGGACAAAAAAAAGAAGTGTGAGGGGTATTTCAGATGGTGTGCAAAGAGCTACTTTAATTAGTCTGAAGAAGTGAAGTTAGAGCTGAGATGTGTAAGAAGGAACCACTGGGAAATGTGGGAGTACTTCAGGTAGAGAACAGCAGGGGCAATGTCAGGAAGGAGTTTGGCAAGGTAGGAGGACAGAAAGAAAGCCAGCGTGACTTAATGTCATGTACAAGGGGAAGGAAAAAAAACAACAGCTGAAAGGGCCAGGCAGGTGCAAATTATTAAGGTCTTCTAGGACAGTGGTCTGCAAACTCATCAGTCAACAGAGCCAAATATCAACAGTACAACGATTGAAATTTCTTTTGAGAGCCAAATTTTTAAAACTTAAACTATATAGGTAGGTACGCTGTTATTAACTTAATTAGGGTACTCCTGAGGCTTAGGAAGAGCCACACTCAAGGGGCCAAAGAGCCGCAAGTGGCTCGGGAGCCGCAGTTTGCCGACCACGGTTCTAGGACATCGAAAGGACTTCAGGTTTATTTTGAATTGCCATACAAACCCACTGGAGGAAATAAGAGACTGAAATTATATTATGTGCCAGGCTTTGCTTCTATAAATTCTTCCACCTTCTCCAAGGGCTGCTCTTCAGCCTAACACATTCCCAATCTTTATCATGAGGACTCTCTAGAAAGGTACAGGACCCCAATAGACACCGCTCACCTCACATAAATTGTTTGCATGCCAATATCAAAAGCAGATCTGAGTCCAATCAGGGGAATTTAAATTACAGGTTGTTTGATGTGGAATGACTTCTGCCTGTGGGCCAGTGGAGGTGTGCGGCCCAAAATGCACAGTGTGAATACAACTGTTCAGCAATTGCTGGTCCGTTACTTGTCCAAAGCGGTAAGTGTATGAATGGATTTGTATGGGTAATGACTCTGAAGTTAGCTTTTCTCGTCTCTCCATAATACAGGAACACACACTGCAACTTGGCTCATTCCTGAAGGATTCTTGTGACGACCCTCAGTTGCTCAGAAGGCACATTTGGTCGCCATTATCCCTTGTGTAATCAGTGTCTTCCAACTACAGGATGATGTTACAGTGATGTTTACAGAATAAGGGAACATGCTCCACACCTTAATCAAATAATTTAAAGATGAGCCTTCTTAGCTATCATGCATCTATACAGAGTCATTAGATATCTAGTGTATATTTTCATAGTATCGTGAGAGAAGTAACTTTCTGGTTCCCACTAGAAGCCTCCAGATGAACCATGTGCCTAGAACTGCTAAGGTAGTCACTATCAATAACGTGGCATAAGTGTGTTTACCTGACAAGCCTTTCCACAGCAAGAGGATGCACAGAATTCACACAGGACTTGACTTGAACTCTGCTTTGAAAGGGCCTTTAAAAACAGCCAGGAACTGGGACCCAATCAGTAGGCTGCCCTGCAGGTGTGATGGCCTCGCCATTAAAAAGCTCCATCCACGTGCGTAAGAAGCCTCATCACAGACCAGCTGTGGCTACTTGGGCCCTAGTCTCTCCTCAGTCGTGGCTCCTGAAAAAAAAAAAAATTGTGAATTATTGTGAAAAATTTTCTGTTAAACTTAAGACCAGACTGTACATCAAAGACAACAACGTAGGCAATTCCAGGGCTGCATCTTTGAAAAGGAATTGCATTCTGACCTCTGAGTGCAGTTACACAGTGTCTCCCTCCCTCTGCTCCGGGGAAGATTGAAAGGAGGGACGGTTTTCGCTTCGCAGTGGTAACCGGTAACCGGACCTGTTGTTCTGCCAAGCGAGTCTTCGCCTTGGCGGACGCTGCTGTCTAAGTGCTCGGGGAGTGTGCTTGAAACCTGTGCCTTCCTCCCACGTCAGATAAGCGGGAAGTTTGCTCTAGCGATGATAAATCTGCACACGGCGGAGATGTTTTTGGCCCAGAACGTACGTTAGAAAGATGATTAAAGTCGCCCGCCTCCCCTCCTTGCGGCCAGGGAGTGTGTTTTGCCTGCATTGAAGAAACGTCCTTCAGCTGCAGGCGTGTGCGCGCGGAGCCCGCAGCCTGCGTTTCTGCGTCTCCGGGACAGGGCGCCTCGGGTCGGCCGAGTGCCGTCCGCAGAGGTGGCCGGTCCTCCCCCGCGGGCGCCCGCGGAGGCGGCAGTCCCCTTCCGTCTCTGCAGCGCCAGGCCCGCGGCCCAGACCCGGGGAAGGGGAAGGAAGCCCTCGCCGCAAGCCGGCGTCTTGGCCGGCTCCAAACACGCCGCCACCAAAAACTTTTTTTCCCCCCTCCCAGCTGCGCGCAACTTTTTGCCTTTTCGCCCAGCACGTTCTCGTCCCGACTTTCTGTTCCCCGGGGTTCCCTTGGCTTCCCTCGCCGTCTCCCCAGCTTGGGGGTGGGGGGCGCGGAAGAGGAAGAGGGAAAGGGGGAAAGAGCCACGACGGCTCGGGAGGAGGAACTGGGCAAAGGGGACGGCGGCGGGCGAGCGCCCGAAAAGGAAAGCGCCGCGGCGGGTCGGGTGGCTGCAGTCGGAATAAAGTTCGCGCCCTTTCCTCGGCGTCCGCAGCCGCCCCTCCCCGCCTCTGCTCGCTCCCTTTTGACAGCTGGGCGCTAGCGGCCACCTCCACGTCCACGCCCGCACCCCCCGGGGGCGCCCAAGTTGTTTTCCATCCCCAGAAAGAGCCGGGTGGGAAAGTTACCAGGCGGGAGGGAGAAACATACACGCTCCTTCGCGAAACCCCCAGACACCCGAGGACAAACAACAGCAAAACCAACCCGACTTTATTGTGCAAAAAGGGAAGCAACATTGTAGTCGCGACAATTCCGCGGAGGGGAGACTCTCGCTGGTGGGGCCGGCGAATCCGCCCTAAGTCACCTCGCCCGGCCCCCGACCGCCATCCCCCACCTCCTCGCCCCCCCCGCCCCCCCGCAGCAGCCCCCTCCCGCGACGGTCCGTTCCTTTTTCTTTCTTTTTTTTTGTCCTGTGGAGTCGGGGGAGCGCCGCAGGCTCCGACTCGGGGAGCGAGGGCGACCGGGGCGCGTGTGTAAATCAGTCACCTGAGCGCCGAGGGGCCGCGGCGAGGGCGCGCGCGGGCGGGCGGGCGGGCGGGGAGAGGCGGAGGCGGCGAGCGCGGCGGCCGGAGGAAGCCGGGAGGGGGAGGGAAAGAAAGGCCGAGACGGAGGAGCGAGCGGCGGCCGAGGGGCTGGTCCAGGCGCGGCCGCTAAGAGGAGACCAAGAGGCGGGGGCTGCACTTGACAACCAGCATGCGGAGATGGTAAGAAGTTTCCACCCTCCTTTCCTTTTCTATTCGAGACTTCGGGAGCGGTGAGCCCCCGGCCGCCCGGGGGGCCGTGTTTTCCCCAAGTCCGGCAGGGAGAGGGTGGAGGGGGTGGTGAGGGGGGCGGGCAGGGGAGGGGAACCCCAGTCCAACCTGGCCCCTGCTGTGCCCCCGAAATCCCCTCTAAACTTGGCCCAAGTTTGCGAGGAGAGTTCCAGGTGGGAGGGAGTGCGAGGGGCGCTGGGAGCGTCGCCCCCTCTCGCGGCTGCCGGGGAAAGGTGAGCGGCAGGCTCCTGGGAGTTGGGGACGGGCCGGGGGGGCCGGGCCGGGGGAGGCGGGGGATGAATGGAGCGCTGGAAGGAGCCGGGGCGGAGAGGAAAGCTTTGGAGCGAACGGGAACTTTTGAAACTTGCCCGCGAGTGAGGGACTGGCGGCGGGGCGTGGGCGCCGGGGCGCGCTGGTGCGCCGCGCGGGGAAGGCGGACGCGGCCACCGAGTCCCCCGCACCTTAGCCGTGCCCTCCCCTCGCCCTCACGTTGCGGGGGGGAGAAAAACTTCCCTTTGCAAATGAGGAAATTGTAGGAAGTGCTCCTGGAGGTTGTAGGAAGAACGTGCAAAGCGCAGGCAAGAAAAGGAACCCCAGAGAGGGAGAGATTTTGAGGTGCAGTTTCTGGAGGAGCCGATGTGCTTTACTTACACGTGGACCGCAGGGTGGCATTTGGGGCCCGGAGAGGGGGCAGAATAATAATAATAATACCCCCTCCCCCCAATAAAACTAGATGTAATCCCCTGTGAAGTGAGGTTGAGATGAAAAAAATAATGAAGTTCCAAGTGCAAGTGGCGGCGGCGAAGGGAAGGCTGCGGAGCGAGATGCCAGCACAGCCTGGCTGCGCTGGAAGCGGCTCCGGCCGGCGAGGCGGTGCGCAGTCGGTTCGCCCGCGGACGGGGACGGGCGCTCGGTCCGCTCTCGGGGAAGCGATTTGTGAGGAATGGGGCTGGACCACTCCCTGCCTTTTAGTTTGCTTCCACCCAGTGCTGCTGCTGCTGCGGCCCCCGCTGGGGGATCCCACAGGCTGCTCCGCATGTAGATGGCATATGTAAGGAAAAGGCAGGTAGCGGGTTGGCATTTCCCTCTCTTCCGTTCCCCTTGGTGTGACATCCCTTGTTTCAGTGATCAAAGTCAAGACCGGAGGGTAGGCGATGCGACTGTCAGATGCAGGCACACAGGCAAAAAGAGCGCCCAGGACTGTGGTTACAGTAACGCTGACAGAAATTAAAGTGGTTGTGAAAGCAGCGTGCGATTTATGGTGCTTCCCAGTTACCCTAGAGTCAGGCTGTTGAGGAAGGGATGCACAAAAGACATCACAAGATAATCCTGTGTGCCCAGGATTACAGTGGCAGAAAGTGGCCTATTTCATTATTATTTTTCATGTACTTCGTGGACAGTTACAGTGGTTGGAACCTGTGTTTAAGTGGAGGCGTCAAAACAGAATATTAAATATATCTGTTTAGCGCTTGAGAGTTTTTTTTTTTCTTCTAGCGGCATTGAACACAGGAACACTGTAAAAGCCGGTTGTAGGTATTCTTTTTCTTCCCTTTTCCCTTAGCCTGGTTGCTAGTTGTCTGCACCTCTGTTTCCGAATACTGGTCACTTTGAACAGTGACAAAACCCGTTTGTCACCCGCTGCTTTGTGTTCTGCAGCTTCAGAGGTGACTGTGCACACACATGCGTGCTTTTGGGGGGGGGGATTTATTTCTTATGTAGTGTGTCCGATCTGAGGACGTAACTCACGGGGAGTGAGAGCTTGTACAGGCTAATAGCACTTCCTTTACCCTTTGGAATCACCCCCAAAATCTCTTAGGAACCTTTCTGGGGTATCTGTGTTTTATTTGTAGCGGTTTCATTTAAAGTGTTCAGCCTTAATGAAGTTCTCAGTTGTAGCTACTCTTCTGTTCCCAGAGAGCAGAGTATTTAAAATCCAGATTGCTAATCACTTTACCAAAGTGTTCTGGAGTATCTTCACCTGGGGGAAGTGAGGCTGAGCCTGACTCTGAGAATCTTGTGAGAAAAGTTCGAAACTGACTTTTTTTTTTTTTACCCCTTGAGCATTTTAAGTTGAGAGTTGTTTGCTTGTTGAACTTGGGGGAAAAAAAGCAACCTTGGGATTTTAAACCATACATATTAAGAAAATATTAGTAGCAGTTATACATTCCAAATACTCATTCTCCCCCCTCCCCCCTTACCTGAAATGTTAAGATGTCTGTCAGGCAGGGATGTGTGATTACAAAAAGAAGCAGACAAAAGCAGAGCTGACTGTTGCTGTATTAAAATGTAAGTGTTACAGTTTGAGTTTTCAAGTGAGAGTTTTTGAGTTCAGTGCTTTACATAACATTTTGTCCTAATCTTGCTTGCTGTCAGGGATGTTTCATGGTTGTGCAATTGCTGCAGTCAAGAATGCCAATTTGCATTCCAGGAGTGTCATTTGATTACTTTTATCTGCACAGCTCCAAGACCGGCCCAGACCTCTCGTTTCATCTTGCCATGTCACGAGTCAATGCTGTGTCGTCTTTTCAAAAATCTGCCTGATTTAGACAAGAAAGAAAAGTACTTTCATGTTGCAGCCGCAGTCCCCTGCTAACTTGTCAGCAGCAGGATATGATTCACTTGGGCCCAGAAGAATGGAACAGAGAGGCGGGTTAGGCGGTTCAATAAAGCCCATGGACAGGTAGTGTGTGACATCCCCCGAGAGCTGCAGTTAATGAAGAACAGGTCTGCTTAGTTCTCCACACGCTGACCTGGTGCTGTCCCCACAGTTTTCTCATTTGATCTTTCCCAGCAAATTGATCTTTTCTTGTATTTTTTTGCCTTCCAAGTTAGTCCTTGTGGGACTGAAATTAGCAGAGCAACTTAAGTTGGATAATACAGCTGTTCAGAAAAGAAGAAATTGGACACTGGCTCAAAAAGGGGCGGGGGTTGGGAGGTGGAGGGAGCTGTTCTTTTTGTTGTTCCTGGGAATGTGTCTTCTATTAAGGGAGTCCAAAATAGGTGATGACTTGAAGTTAGTGGTCCCCTTTATTTTTAATTTTACAGTTAGGGTCCCACACCATTTTAAGTATTCCTTAAGTATTTGAAAGATGGTCCTAGTGAGTATGAGGAGTTCGATTTAGCATTTTTCATACTCACTTGTTTGAAACGATTGGCCAGTGGACTGTGTGGCTTTTATGGCTATTGTAAGACAGACTAACTATCAATGGCATTTTTCAACTGTATTATTTATAGTCTTCTAAATAACTACAATCCCGAAGTGTCCAATACTGAATAGCAGAAAAGATTAAACAATAAAAAAGTCATTACCAGTGTTCTGTATAAATATGGCACATGGAAGTGTTTTCTGCAAATTACCATGAGCATCTTTGTTTCCCATAAGCCCCACAGATACACTCTTAATAAAACTTAATTTTTTTTTGATCCTGCATTTAAATGTAGGTTTTTAGAAATGGGAACAGATCACAAGTTTGAATTTGGTATGGATGTTAATATATGTTGTTACTTGTTTTTTGAGATTAAAACTGATTTTAGCAAGATGGGTAAATCTAAGTTGGGAATGTAGAGATAGTTTAAAACAGGTTAAGGTTTTATTATAGAATTTTGTATATAAAGCGTAGGTTGGAGGCAATTAATAGATTCTCAACTTGAGGTGGATATAAGGAGCAGTGTTTTCTGAATTCCTGTGCAGATGGTCTCATTTACCATCTACATCTTTACAAGAAACAGTTGAAAACATTCCTTGTAGAAGGGGAGGCAGCCTTTTCAAATCTTTCTTGCTGGATGGAAATTACTTAGGGTCATTGGTTAGTAAACTCCATTCTGAAGAGCTAGAGGGAGCCTCATGATTTTATTGGACATATTTAAGGTAAAAAAAAAATCACTCTGGCAATCAGAAGGTTGTAGAAAAAGTGCATAAAGAATACTGGCACACTGGCGTAGTGTTTAGGTTTGGAGGGGCTATTGTAGGTTTGGTGTTTAGTTTTTTTTAGGTTTTTTTTTTTTTTTTTTTTTTTTAAAGCTGTGACAGAAGCAACAGAACTTCCTGTAAGAAAAGTGATTAAGTAGTCTGCTAAGATTTCTAAGTTCTACCTTTTAGGTTATTTGAAGATCAAGCAAAATGCAACCAAATACATTTTAAGTCTGATTTGGTTTGCTAAGCTTAGTCTGTTTATCGTTTTGTTAACTGAAGGAGTTCTCCTGTTAGGAGGCCAACCTTCCAAGTTCTATTAAATGTAACTTCCTTCCAAGTCACTGAGGAAGGGGATGGATACCTCCTTTCAGTTCACTTAAAGACAACCTCCTTTCTGTAAATAATGGTTTTGAAGTAGTTCTACACACAACTGCCGTACTCTGGAGAGACATCCCCTTTAAGATAAATGCTTCATGGTATAAGCATAAATAGTAAACCATTTATATTAGGAATCAATAAATATGTTAAATTTAAAGAAATAGAACTCAAGTGGTATTAAGTTCAGTATTTGTTGTTTAATTTCACAGTCTTCCCACTAAAAATGGTGATATATTTACATTCAAGAGTCATTGACCATAATTGTTCTTTAATATGTATATACTAGTTTTCAGTAGCCTTACTTTGTACAAACTTATTTGCGATTTAAGTAAATAATATAATCCAGTGAGATAAACTACCCAGATTTGCCTTTTTTTTCATCTCTTGAACAGTAGCTCTCATTATATTGCTAGCCAATAAAAGTCTTTATTTGTTGCTTATTAGAACCCTCAGTACACTCAAGAGTTCAGCTATAATTTAATTTGGCTGTTCAAAGAGGCTCCCTTGTTTTAAAACATGTTCTCAGTATGCTTTTACCATTTATTGTAAACCTATATTCTAACTCATGCCTATGCATAGGAACGATTTTACAGATAGGTCATTTTTAAGGTTTGCCATAGAAGAGTTATAACTTTTTTTTCTTTTAAAAAAAAAAAGTCTA